TTATTAGATGTCGCTATTGCGTCTGTATTGAAGTCATTTTAGTGTTGCTTCTTAAAAGAGAGAAAATATTGATTTTTTCACGTTAAGAACACCTATGAATAACTGTTCTGATGAGAACTATTAGGTCGAAATACGTATCAACAGATACATAGGCGCTTTTTGCGTAAAATCAATTATTTGCTGTCTTTTTCATTTTATTCGGATATACTCTGTGTGAGTACGAGATACACAATTCGATAAGAATTTCTGCTTAGTTGTAAAGACATGTCGTGGAATGCAAATTTTAGATTCCCCATGTTCCTTTTAACATCTTTTATCAACGTCTGTTTGCCTTGCAATTTTTAGAAGGCTCAGATTATAAGCAGAAATCTGAATTGTATTTCGAAACTATTTTACGGATTTTATTATTAGATGTCGCTATTGCGTCTGTATTGAAGCCATTTTAGTGTTGCTTATTAAAAGACAGAAAATATTGATTTTTCACGTTGAGAACAGCTTTGAATAACTGTTCTGATGGGACCTATTAGATCGAAATACGTATCAACATATACATAGGCGCTTTTTGCGTGAAATCAAATATTTGCTGTCTTTTTCATTTTAAGTCTCCTTCACTTTGCGAAGCATATAATCAAAATATAGTACTCTTAAAATATATAGGTAAAAAGAACTACATATTAAAAAATTCTACGTACTCTTCTTTCTTTTCAGAGAGATAATATTGTACCAAATTATAGTAAATACATAGACTTATTTAAATAAAAATATTGTTCTATCTATAATAAGCAATTGCAAAGAGTCAATAGCTCTATATACAGATGCGTCTAAATCTTTAGATAGAACCAAGCTGAAGATGGAGCTGAAGTTGATTTCACCGATATTATAATTTTGTCCGAATCCTTAACAGTGTTAAAATGTATTTGTAAATATGGACACCGAAACGTACAAGACTGCCCATATATTTATAAAATTAAACATAATAAACAAATTCGTTTAACCAAACGGATCAATGTTTAGTTTCTATGGATTAAAGCACATGCAGGATTGAAACACAATGAATATGCCGACTTATTAGCCGAAGAAAGAATATCAATCTATACTGGTACTCTACATAAAGTAACGCTTTCTGATAGTATCATCTCTTGCAAGTTAACATTGTTTCGAGAGTGAAGCAACCAGTAAAAGGAATACTCTTTTATGAATTAAAATAGATACTGGTTAATTCAAATAGAGATATTTACAAATTTCCTTGGTACAAGACTTGTAGAGCCACTAGTAGGCACATAACTTCCACTATTAGGGTACGATTTGGGCACGTACGTTATCCAATACTCTTATTTAAAATATAGGTTTTGGATGATGATAAATGTGAGCATTGTGGAGAGAAAAGTGATTTAGATCATATATTTATTGGTAGTACTAAAAATACAATCTACTCATCCAACCTTATAAACGATTCATTAAAATGTAAAGTAGCAGCCCCTTGTAATATACTATATTTATTATCACTTGGCTGTGTAGATGTTTACAACTCCTTATTTAACTTTTTCAAAGACAAAAAATTATCATTATAATTCTCTAAAATTCTTTTAGTTAACCTTGATATCTTTATTTTAAACCACTCGTATAACTTCCTTCTCTCCATAACCTAGTGTTATTGCATCTCAATAGGTCTCTAGGCGAGAAGAGTGTGTCCATGTTTTTCTAATGTCAATGTAATCTTAACTTTGTGTTAGGAAATTTAGGCAAATTAAAATGATGAAAATGGTCTAATTTCTCTTGTCTCTAGCTGTATGACGGTAAGTCTAAGCAAAAAAAAAAAATAAACGAAATGTATATATTTATATTTAGGGCATCCTGTGCATCATGAGTTAACCTTACAAGAGGCAATAGACGTGTGTAGAGCATAATGAAATTCCAAAAATACAGTTTAAAGAAGTTCAGTTAAGTCAAACAATTAATATTTATTTTGTAAAACGGTAAAATGGTAATCAAATAGTAGGAAGAAAAGCTGCAAATAACAAGTTCAATACTGGAAGAAGCAAATGATGGGAACAGGACGAAAACTCAAGGAAAAGTGATCAGTGCAGAAAATGTGTGCTCATGAGTTCCAAAGGTGTCCAGAATTTGGTAAAATGTGCAATAAGGGTTTGTATAACAACCATTTCAAGAAAATATGTAACAACAGGATCGTAAGCGAAGTTCCGGAGAATGAAGAAGTAGGTATGTACAGTAAACAGGAAGAATTTATGGTAACATCAATTGAGGTAAATGAAATATAAGGAGATAATGAATGGTCTGAAAGGTTAGTTATTAAGCAATGTGGAATAGGCTTTAAAGGTTTAGGTTTACAGGTAAATATTACGTTATCGGTTTCTTACCAGAAATAATAGATTAATTAAACCCCTTTTTAGATATAATGATTTCGAGATGTACTAGTTTTGCAATAAGTATTGTTATTAGTTTTTATTCTTAGTTCATTGTTGTAAAGCTGAGAGATAAAGACGGAAAGGCAACAACAGATAAACAAAACATTCTGAAAATAACCAGAGAGTTTTATAAAGACCTCTATACCAGCCAAAGACCACAAGACAATTTCCCGACACGAGTAAAGACTCTCATAAATCAGGGATCTAAATACTTTTACCCATTACTGTGTCAGCTTTAAAGGAAATGAAGAACCATCGATCGCCTGGTGATGATGGACTCGTTATCGAGGCAATAAAAGCAGGAGGAGAAATTTTATTAAAATCAGTAAGCGAACTGTTTAATAAATGCTTACATGCGCGTACGATTCCAAAAGACTGGAACAATGCAGTAATAGTTTTGTTACACAAAAAAGGCGATATTACTAAATTAGAAAATTATAGACCCATCAGCCTCTTGACACATATGTACAAACTCTTTATGAAAATCTTAACAAAGAGGCTAACACCTAAACTTGATTTCTATCATCCCAAAGAATAGGCAGGCTTCAGGGCAGGATATGGCACAAATGACCATTTGCATACCATAAAGATCTTAATAGAAAAGTGCATCGAGTACAACATACCATTGGTTCTTGCATTTGTTGATTATGAGAAGGCTTTTGATTCTGTAGAGTTTGAAACAACACTGGAAGCCCTAAATCAAAGCCGAATAGATTACAGGTACACGACACTAATCAAAAACATCTACGAGAACGCTACAACGCTATACGACTATACGAAGACACAGAAAAATTCAGCTTAGATCGAGGAGTTAGACAAGGAGACAATATTTCACCAAAATTGTTCACGGCAGCTCTAGAGTCAATATTTAAGAGCACTCATTGGCAAGATATGGGCATCAATATAGATGGAGAAAGATTAAACCACCTAAGATTTGCAGATGATGTTGTATTAATCGCAGATAATTTACAAGATACAGTTTCTATGATGCATTCGCTTAAAAGTCTGTCTGAAAGAGCAGGATTAAAGATAAACTTTGAGAAAACTAAACTTATAACAAATCTCGTAATGAGTGGAAATATAACTATTGACAATAATAACATACAACAAACAGACACTTACATATATCTGGGACACGAAATCAAAATAAGCAGAGACAATCAAACACATGAAATACAGAGGCGAATAGGCCTAACTTGGGCAGCATTTGGCAAATTAAGCCATATTCTAAAAAGTTCAATTCCCATGTGTCTCAAGCGAAAGGTTTATGACCAATGTGTTTTACCTGTACAAACTTATGGAGCGGAGACTTTAACACTTACGCAAAAATCTGCGAATAAACTCAGAGTTACGCAACGAGCCATGGAACGTGCAATGCTGAACGTGAGCCTTCGAGACCACATAACAAACCAACAAATCAGGCAAAGATCAGGAGTTCAAGACGTAATCGAAAGAACCACGACGCTTAAGTGGAACTGGGCAGGGTACTTAGCCAGAACACAAGATGGACGGTGGACAAGACGTATTATGGAATGGAGGCCCAGAAACTATAAAAGAAGCCGAGGACGACCACCGACTAGATGGACCGATGATATAAAATGTGTAGCGGGAAACTGGCTACAAGCGGCCCAGTGTAGAGAATACTGGAAAGAACTGAGGGAGACCTATGTCCAGCAGTGGACGCGATTGGCTGATTGATGATGATGATTGTTGTAAGTGCTATGTTTTATTGGAAAGAAAATATGTCATGAGACTGAATAGATCATGAATGTAAAGTCCTGATAGGACCATGACATGAGACAGGCGGCACGAGGTCTCATGGCAGAAATAGGGGTTAAGTACTTTTGAATAGGTTATCATCATACTTTATTACTGAAAGTAATAATAATAAAGATGTACAACAGTCCGTATTAAACATTCTAACACCCTGTACATATTACATTTAACGGACATATTTGTTTTGGTACGATATATCAGTTATTATATTATTACATATTAGTATATTGTCAAAGTAAATAAAATTAGAGAGGCGGTACTAACCGTTTGTTCCTACCTTTATATTGTACTAGGTACTAGTTTTCATTAGTTAACGTGAAGAAGGCGGAACCTGTTTCTTACTAATTGATTTTTAAGTACCCTATTTTAATTTTATAATTTGTCACAATTGTCACAATTATTGGATGTGAATATTTGAAAGGTTTGTACCTACTAAATGTGTTACCTTACGGATTCGATTGAACCTACATAGTAATTAATTATCGTAAAGGGGGCGGAGCTCTTTTCTTATTAGTTAATTTTAATAACTTTACCCACTCTATGATTCATCATGAGTTTATTCGATATAATTTTTGAATGTTTGTCCTAAACGTGTCACCTCACTGATAATATCATGGACGTATGTTTATACGTCCATGGATAATATCGTACAGCAGGTAAGTATATTGTCTCAATTCTACTCTCGTATTTATTAATTCACTCACAAAATTTGTTAAAATTATTATAAACTCTACTAATTTTGTAATGTTCCTAAATATTTCTATTACTTAACAATATATAGTAGCAAACGGTACTCACCCTGCTGAATATACTTCTTCTGTGCTGCTCCAACCAACACAAGTGACAGGAGCCTTGTGAGAGGGCTTTTCGGCAAGTGTAATTTTAAACCGCATTTTCGAATTATTTATTTCACTTGCACAAACATACACGTATATATAAACACATTCGAAAACTAAGAAGCGAAGACGTAAACTCTGTTTTGTTTGTATTGAAGTTGTCAAGGCGACATTTCAGTTTCTTGTACCAAAGTCAACATTCGCTAGCGTATGGAAGGTGGTGTATTTTCGTTATTGTGAGAATTACTTAATACGTCGGTTTTCCTATTTATTTAGTCTTAGAATTATAAATGGTTTCAGAATGAATTTTTATTGTATAATAGCAATTTTACAAGATAAATAAATATGAAAATAAAAAAAATTATTTTGTGAGGTTTGACACTGATCATTGTGCTTAATTACGAAGCAAAGAGGTTTTTTGGTCCTTAAAAATCACATTTTTTACAAATGAGGACTTATAATGAAAAGTAGGTATAACATAAATTTATAAATTTAGAAATGTACACTACATCTAAAGAACTGGATCTGTTATCTGCAACTCTTATCAAGAAATATTAAAATTCGTTATTGTATAGAGACAGTATTGAAGTAAACAAAGAAACATGATATAACAGTCATCACGGAAGACTTTATAGGGACAATACCAAAATCCTTGGCGAAGAATGGGTAGACGCTTGTACAGGAAGATTCGGATTAGACATTAGAAATTAGGTTTATCAAATAGGGGAGCGCGGGGTGGAATGCCACGTCTAATTTTATGCCTTGGCTTGTCAACAAGTTTTTATTAAAAGTGAAAACAAACTGCAGAAATTAATAAACAATTAAATCCACAAGAAAAACAATTCCTGTAGCTGGCTGTATACCACGTATCACAAAAAAAGAGGTTAGTCTTCGTAAGTGGGTATATTTATTTAAAAACCCTTAAAAGGGCTACATAAAAAAACAAACATTTTCGGACTAAACAGTCCATCATCAGGTTTTTTTTTCAATAAACAATTATTTAAAAAACAATAAATAGAATAAAAGAAAAAATAAAGATAGTTGTCACTTTTACTTGATATGCAAAGCAGTTCACCTTTCCTATTCCGTCCCATATACTTATCATGTCATCCTCGTTATCTACGTCTGCACAAGAATTATGTGCCCAACTGTATCACGATGAGCATGCTACGCATCCTTAATGGGAAATCCTTAAAAGGGCAAATCCGTAGAAGCTAGACAATTTACAGATTATCGCTGCAAAGACAAATGTTACGATAAAATAAGTTTAGAAGAAAGGCAACAAGAATTTAACAGATTTTGGGCACTTAATAACTATCAAGCTAAATGCCTCTATGTATCATTTTCGGTCGTAATAGTACCACCAAAAAGAAAAAGAGTTGAACTATCGACTAAAAGAACCCACACAAGAATATACCACCTAGCTGGTAAAGTAGTATGTTCAAAAATGTTTATTCAAACTTTGAGAATATCCTCTGCAAGAGTTGACCAATATTTAAAAAAAGTTGGTTCAACAGAAGTCATTAACGATCATAGAGGAGAAAAGACAGATACCCATCGAAAAATGCATGAAGATCAAAAACAAAGAAATATTGATCGCATCAGCAAATTTCCAAAATATATGTCTCATTATTGTAGAAACCAAAGTGAAAGACTTTTTTTAAACAGTGATGTAACCCTAGACATCATGTTTAACTTGTATAAAGAAGCAAATCAGGATAGTGTTTCCTTTTCTTCCTATAAACGCATATTTTATGAGATTTTATGATTTTAATTTGCAAAGGAAACGACTTAAAAAGGACACATGCAATAAATGCGATAACTTTGCAGTTAAAATCAAAAGTTCTACATCTGAGAAAGAGAAAAAAGAATTTGAGAGACTAAGTGATACTTATCAAGATTAAGCAGAAGCAGCTAAAAATCTTAAGAATTTAGATCTCCAAAAAGCTAAAAATCAAAAAAATCTGGAGGTATTGACTTTTGATTTGGAAAAAACCAATGTTATCAAACATTGCAGAAAACGAAATAAATTAATGGTTCAACTGGTAAAAAAAGAAGAGTGGAAAGGAGTTTGCAATATTGTAAAACATATTGTAAATAGGAAGTGTTGTAAAAACAACATTTTATATTAATTTTAGTATAATTTTTAGTTCTCACAAATATTAGTTTGGATTTTATGCTACAGACTGTACTTTTTGCCTGCAAAATATTTGTGCCATAAATAGCTTATAAGGGTTGTTTAAAGTGGTAAAACCGACCTTGTCGGAAATTTTAGGTAAAGATTCAATTCAAAATCTCTCGCAGATGTGACCAGTGTCTCAAGCTGTACGGTACTCGTAGCCGGTACCTAAGCTCTCTTCGCCGCCAAAATGCAGTGAAACGTGTATTTGTTTTTCTCGATAATTTCGCGCGCCCTTAAAACGCCGATTTAATAATGGACAATGTTTTAAAGCGAACTCTTTCGTTAGTATTAGTGTTGGTGTAAATATTCTCTTGTTATTAAATGTGTAGATTCAATTAATGACGCTTATCTTTCTCTAAGTACAACCCCTATTAAATCAAACACATAAAGAACCAGCGCCTTGAAGTTCTGCTTGCATATATCGAAGGAAACACTCTTGTACAGTCCATGGTCCTAAAATATTTGGAACTGTACACGCACGGGGAAAGGAATTTAATAAGCTTTCCCCACAACAATTGGTGGAAATCGGAGAAAACTCCATCATTGTTTGTGGTCCTTACTCGACGGATTTGTGTTTGATGTTGGCATTTGTACTAACTAGTTTCGGATATTTAGATGAATGTATTTAAAAGACTCTCGAAAAGACTAAGGTGTCGCGATAAACTCTTAAACAAAAGGACAGTAGTGAAGTTTATATAGTGTTTGTGATTGTTCCTGCAAACCACTGGACAAATTGGGTGAGATTTTTCCATATTATAACTTCGCTTATGCACAGGGTAAATCGCTTTTCAAAAAGACTATCTCTTTAAAAATTTATCTGTAGACATTTGTAGACATTTACCGGGTGTGCAAAAAATTTAATTGCAAAAATAAACTCTCATGTGTGATTTAAGACTTTTACCGCGTTTTAATCAACTATAAACTTTCTCGCCGTGTGCTACCTGTTATTATATGATATAAATATTGACTCTATTCTCGCCGTGTGCTATACATGTTATTACATAATATAAACATTATTTACTCTATTCTCGTTGTGTGCTATACATGTTATTATATACGATAAACATTACTCACTCTATTCTCGCTGTGTGATACACGCATTGTTATATAATAGAAACAATAATTTCTCTAAAGAACTCGGTGTTTGCACGACCTTAGGCAGTTATTTTTGGAGTAGCACTTTTTGTTAAAATAGAAATGGAAGATCTTAAAAAGAAGAGGAAGCCGCTGAAGGCCAAGATTACTAGAATAGTAAACTGGCTACTAGAAAACGCAGATGCAGAAACTGACGGGCTCCAGTTTCAACTCAGACACACCGAATTGAAATCATGTTATCTGAAGTATGAAGAGGTGATGGATCAGATTGAAGAAATCGATGAAACCGATTCTGAAACAGAAGACAGAGCACTCATGGAGAAAAAATACTTTTCTACACTAGCTGGACTGCAGCATAAGATGGAAGCATTGAAGTTACCCTCCCACTCGCTCAGCTCAAACGATACTCCGTCAACTGTAGCCACTGCTAAAGTTAGGTTGCCGGAAATTACAATGCAGGTTTTTTCTGGAAACTTCGCCGAATGGAACGCGTTTTATCAGCTATTTGAAACGCTAATAATTAATAATGTGGAGCTGAACAATGTGCAAAAATTTATATATCTTAAATCCTTCTTAAAAAACGAACCCTTGCACTTAATTGAAAACATTGAAGTTGTAGAAGAAAATTTCCAGATCGCTTTGGACACGCTCAAGGATCGATACGAAAATAAATCGCGTGTAATTAGTTTACATATTCAAAAATTGTTAAAGGCTCCATCTTTAGCTAAAAGTAACTCAAAATCATTACGAGAATTTTTAACTCTTTGCAAACAGACTTTACTCGCACTCAAGAATATGTCAGTACCAATCGAACATTGGGATTTATTGTTAATCGAAGTATTTTTACAAAAACTAGATTTCGCTACTCACCGGTCATTTGAATATGAAATAGGTTCAAAGGCTCTACCTACTCTCTCACAGTTTTTTTGTTTTCTTGAAAAAAAGTGTGATATCCAAGAAAAATTAAACGTTTCTGATAATGATAGAAAATTTACTAAGCCTCAGTTAAAAACATCTTTGTTTTCATCAGTTAACTCACAAACAAACTCTTTTTCAGATACTAGTTGTATATGTTGCAAAAGTAATTCACATAAAATTTATCAATGTAATGATTTTAAATGTCTCTCTTTACAGGAAAGATTTAATTTTGTAAAAGGTAAGAAACTTTGTTGGAATTGTTTGGGTAATAAACATTTTTCTCAAGATTGCAACTCTGCACGCTCATGTAGTATATGTAAGAAAAGACATCACTCGCTCTTGCATAGTACCCCTGAAAATGTCTCTTCTTCTAGGATCACGAATAGGCAATCTTTCTCGATTGATCGCAACCCTCAAGCTCCCAAACATTCTCAAGGTTCTTCCAGTCGTGTCGCTCACATACCTACTCCGCCTTATAGTGCTCATACCCAAAATGAAGCTTCTACCAGTTCGTTCAAACCTCCTTTAGAAGTACAAAACACTGCAGATTCTCACAGAGCCACTTCTCTCTCTGCTTTATCAGTTAAAACTGATGTATTGTTGGCTACCGCTTTAGTGACAGTGTATTCTAAAGATGGCAGGCCTATGCATGCCAGAGCGCTCCTAGATAATGGGAGTCAACATTCATTTATTTCTCGTGATTTGGTTGAGAAGTTAAACCTCACCCCTTATTTTAAACAGTTACAGATATCAACCATATCCGAAAACACCTCATTGTCAAATCAAATGATTAACATAGAATTTTTTCCCTATAATGTGAAGGATAAAAGTTTCAAAACCTCTTTTGCTGTACTTGATACTATAACTTGCAGACTTCCTAAAGCTACC